CAGAAAAAATTTTTTGTATTCAAATACTTCATTATTGTTTAAGTTGGTTTTGTTAGAAGTTAAAAATGCAAAAAGTTGTGAATTGTAAATCTATAAAGAGAAAATTGAGGCACTTAATATTGCCAAAGTTGTATTTATTTGTTAAAGTGTTGCTAAAGGAGTTATATAGTTTATTATATAGTCATCTTTTTTGCTATGATTTGCTGAAAGCATAATAAATAAAACAAGAATAGTCTACTTAAATAACAATCACAATCATTATTTCAATCAAATGTAATAATTAAGTATTATCTCAAAACACATTGAGGGAGTTCCTTGAGGATGTTCTTAGTTTTATTAGTTATAATATATAAAAAGATGTCCTTTATTAATATATTATCATTATTGATCAAATAACAATCTGAATTATATATACTTTTCAGTACAAATATTTATATAAAATTTATTAATGAAAAAAAATTTTTAAGCACTATACTAAAAATTGAAACTATTTATATTTTATATATTTAAATAATATCATTTTAAAATGTTCTTACTTTATATATATAAACCCAATAAGCAATAGTTAAATTTTATACTTCCTCAAGTCAGAATATACTAAAATGTTCACTGTTTCTTTTTAAAAACAAAACCTGATTAACCAAGTTTAGAGATAGTCAAGTACACTTTGCAGATATGTAATTACTCACATTTGAGAACAATCTCTTGTTAGGTACAGACATAGCAGGAATTGATAGATATTTTAGTGCAAGTTGTGACAAAACTAGAAACTCTTTTTTGTTTGCATTCCACCACTTTAAAGGATCCTGATCAATATCTATCTGCTAATACCTTATATAACATGTGATTTCATCCTCCTCAGCTGAATATGAACTGCCTAATTCTTTATATTCTAATGCTTAAAAAAAATCATCATCATCATCTGCACAATTATAAGTAGGTGTTGTTTGTTGAGCTGATTGAGAATAATTATCTCCAGTTTGAAAATCTTTTGCAGAATTGTATTGAATTTGCAATAATTCAAGTAATGCATCTTTTTTTTTTTATCCATATTATCCTATTTAAAATTTTTAAATTGAGTATCAAGTATTGTTGCAATTTGAATCAATTCCGATTGTGCTGATCACAACTTATCAAGTGATAAGAAAATAGCTACCTGAACTTTTTTAAGAAGACCAGTAGTATTGGTAGCTAGTAAATATTTAACATTATTGAAATCATTTATATCCTTTTCAGAATTTTTTTTCCTGTTATTTTTTTTATATCTATAGGAACTATTTGCTTTTTCTTTACCTTTTTTTCATCTTTTTCCTTTTGTTAACTGCATTTTTTGTCTAAATTGGTGATGAGCATATTGCTACTGTCGATGTGAACCACCAGATGGAATTTCATCTCCTGCACTTGTTGAACTATCTGAGTCTTCTATTTCTTCATTATCACTTTCACTTTGTGGCCTATATATCAAATTGAGGTACGTATCATAAGTTTCTTCACTTTTATAGTTAAGTTTAAATAATTTTTTTAATAATTCTATATAAGGATGAACGAGACTTAAAGTACAGTATTTTGCTCCACATATTTGATATGTTATTTTTTTAAATGGTGA